AAATTGGAGGATGATATTTTCCAATTTTCCAGAGACAATACGAACCTACGAACTTATCAGGGAGATCTCCAACATTTTAAAAGGTAAACTTCGTTTTTGTACCAAAATATTATTATTGCTTATCGGAATCCCGGAATCTTTCCAAAAATCCATTTAGTCATCGATTTGTACTTAAATTGCAATTCTTTTTTGTAAACAATTTTCTGTCGGTGGTATTGGCATGCGTATAATTTTAGGAAATTTCTGTGTTCAGGCAAGGGAGATACCAATTGGTGGGGGGAAGTAGCCTCGGACTCGGACTCGCACTCGTACTCGTAATTATATTTAATTCCACTCGAATCAAAATATGAAAGATAAATTTTAATAATTTTAATTGATGCGCATTAAACTCAAATTATCTGAAACATGAATTTTTGCTAAATTCAACAAAACGTTGGCAATAAAAACGAAAACCGGCAAGCAAATTGTGAAGAGGGGATCCCGAGGGGGAGTTTCAGAGGAACAATTAAGACTCCAGTCGGTACACGCACTAATTACCAAAGCATTTCACCGAAAATGGGGTAAGGGGGAGGGGGTATACAGTATATAGTGGGCTTTGAGCGGCATTTTCCACAATTAGATTTACGAACAAATGAAATTACTTGGCTTTCGTTTTAATTGCAGCCTGCTTATTGGCCAGAAATGAACACATATTTTGTACATATACTATATAAAGGTATATACATACATATATATCATAATCGACTAACCAACGCAGCCAAGCAGAAGGGGCCTTATCGTTGGCTGGAAATCTGGCGATTTTGGGTTGCATAAACCAGTTAATAACGCGCTTCCGCCCAAGTCAATTTGTGCCCTGGCCTACACGAAAATTGAGTGAAAATGCAACCGCCGACGCAATGAAAGCAAGACAAATCGTCGTATCAAATTACCAAATAATGATCCATGGGGTGGGAGAGAGAGTAGAGGCAGAGTCGGCCAAGGAAATGCCTGCCCGGTACCTGGTACACGGCCAGCCATCAGGGGGGAAAGGGGGGGATATCAGCCATCAGCAGTCGGTGGTGGTGGCAGAGCAGGCAGCCATCCAGCGACAGTTTTGTTGGGTGATTATGTCACACGCCCTGCCCCGGACTCACTCGCCCACTGACTGACGGAACCGCAGCCATTTGTAATTGAATTAATGCCTGGGATACAGAGCTTGCTTGGGATACTGCCACGTATTTGTTGTTTGTACTATTTATGGTCCGACGGGTGGGGATGGGTGGGGTGGGGCGGGGCCTTATCGGCGACATTTCATCGCGCGACTCCAGTAACCCTAACTAATCGCACGTAATTAAATATAATTTGGTATCGTTTACAGTTGCGTTTTCGTTTGCTTCACCAATTTCCCCCCCACCACGGCCCCTTGGAACCTCGGATTGGGAGGGAAAACTATGTCGAGACGGAGATTATTTCAGGGCATAATTGGAGGAGTCATTGCAGGGCAGAGTGGAGTAGAGTGAAAATGGAGTCGAAACTAAAATTATATTCGCTTTGTGGAGAGAGAACTATATATTTCCATGAAACTACTTTCGTCCGTCCCTCCTTGATAGGTATAAAGCTTTTAAGAAAGAGAAGACTAATTCCATTTCAAAAGTATACAAAATATCGCAAGGGAAATCCACTCTCATCGAAATAATAAGATTCATTAGAAGGGTTTTCAATCCCTAACAGGAGATTTGTTTATCACTTTTCTGCGTTAAACATTATTATAGAAAAAAAACTCTACTCTCCGGAAAGAAGATCTTAGAAATCAGGCCTTAGTTGTTTTGATCCACAAGTTGAATCCTTCACTCAAATAAATGATAGCAAAATCTCAAGAGAACTGATCAAAAGAAATGAAACAGCTTGTATTCACGTTCAACTGGATAAAAATAGAAGTATAGTTAAAGGAATCAATATATATATATGTACATATATATATTTTATATATTTTGATATTCAAATTGAAGTCCCTTCACCTTCAACTTATATTCTGCATACCGCCTTCGCATCATAGAAACTCTAACGAAAGGAGGCGATCTCGTCTCAAGAGAACAGACATATGTAGGAGAGCCTAGGAGCTGCCAATACCAATACCTATGCCCCTCTTCCGTTCCTCTCAGGCATGGACACATGGGTAAATGCTTATATCTGAGCTGCATAATGGCTATAATGAATAAGACACCTCCGGACAGCAGATAGGGCCTGTCCAAACAGACCTTCAGCCACTTGGCTGCAATTTGTTTGCCATCGGCAACACACACACACAGAGAGAGAGACACACAACGAGAAAGGTGGAAAAAAGAAAACGCGCGGAGCTGGAATAAAAATAAAATTATTTAATTGCGCAATTAAGTGCACATTTGTAACGTTTTGCGCGACATCTGTCCCATGTGCAGGAGTAGATCCGAGCGACCAGAGACCAGAGACAGCAACAGAAACAGTCGGACCAGAGACCCAGAGTCCCAGAGTCCGAGGCGAAGTCGGGACCGGAAATTCAATTGTTGAGATAATAATTACATTAGGACGTGCGCGCATGCGCGACTCTCTCTGTCTCTGGATCGTCTCCGCCATGTGGACTGGCCAAGAGTGGACTCGAGAGCGATTCCCGAGCGGAGTCGCTTCCAAAACGAGTGCACACCTTGCGCGACGAGCTGATTGACACGGCCACATGGGGACGAGATATACCATAGAGACCTCTGCGCCTGTCCATTGAACCCATCGGCCAAATGGTCACTGGTCGCCGGTCGCCGGTCGCTGGCCGCTCTTTTGTTTGCATTTCGCCTGTAAATGAAGCGTGAAATTAGCTGCAGTGCAGCCAGTCGCAACTCGATCGGAGGAGGATCGCCTCCAACCCTGACTATGACTCTGACTCTGACGCTGACTCTGACTCTGACTCTGAATCCAGATCCGACTGTGAGTGCATCTGCGACTGCGCGACTGTGGCGTCGCATTGTTTGCTTCTTGTTAAGGCCCGACAATGGGATAATATGGCAATATAATGGCAACACCAAACTATTTGTATGCAATTGCCATTAACACTTTATTTATTGCCTGGCGGTACGAGCAAATTGGGCGACTCCAGCAGAGACCAAAGAGTGGCAAGGAGGCCGGGGCAGGGGCATGGGGCATGAGGCGGAGACCGAGACAGCTTCCAGTGGAAAATGCTGCAAGTGGAGAAGTGGCTGGAATGAAGCCGTCGATGTATAAGGCCAGGTTATATCAGGCCTAATGAAGTAGTTATCAAGGAATGGAATCTGTTAGGACTGAACGAAAATGGCCAAGACCGGATAGGTTCTGTAATAGAAGGGGGGCTCTCGAGGGGATTGGTCTATAAGAGTGGGAAACTCTACAAATGGAATTCCTTAGGTGGAAATGCCTTTCATGAAATATGGTTAATAGATATTTATCAGTTAATCTAATAACAGTGATATAGGAAAGGGATAAATTAAATATCGGAATATTATAGTTTCAAACAAGAGATAACATTCAATTGAGATAGACAACGAACCTTCGAGGATAGGTAACATCCAGTAATTTACATGCAATCGAAATTTATTGATAATAGTAATGAAGTTATCGCTATCGATTGTTATTTCGATTAAAACTTCCAATTTTGTAAAGATTTGATAAAGTTTGAACAGATTACGATAATTTTCAATGGCTTTAAATTATGTTAGGAATAGAATAGAATAAGAATTGATTCGAAGGAGTATAAATAGTTTTAGATATACGTAAAATAGGGAGTATGGGTAGTATGAAATTTGTTAAATGTTGAAACACCTCTAAATTAAATTCATATATTATAAGAATCCCTTGCCAACACCTTGGAACCTCTATTAGAAACCCTTTGCGTCCGTGACTCAACTCAGGGGCCTCATCTGTCATTCGCCCTTTAACTCTTTGTTTCTATGACCCTTTCAAACGGCCAGTGCATTTCCCATTACCATCCTGACACCCCAGGCAGACCCTATCCCTATCCCTCGATGTTTACGTGGGTAAACAAGGCAATAATCTACGACTACGTACGACTCCGGCAATCATCCAATAAAGCCAACAAAGTCATTAACGAGGCCCTTAACACTACTAACAAACGGTTTATATGGTCCGAGGAGAATGCTCTCTCTCTCCCTCACTGGCTGCGGCGCTGCCCCTCATCCCTTCCGACCTCTCTCTCCACCTTCCGCCTGTGCCACAACCTCCCTCTCCCCTTCCTGCCTGTGCCACAACCTCTTTCTCTCTATACCTCCCTCCCTGCCGCTTCTATCTCTTCGGATGTGTACATATGTGGCTTCCAATGCCATGGTTAAATTATTTAATTTATGAGCCGCAACATCGGGAAACGAAACGCATCTATGGAAACGCAGAAGAGTTAACCCACGGCGGAGGGGCAAATAAATTTCCATTTTGCTAATCAAATTTATTGCACTTTGTGCCGAGGCTTATTCAATTACACTCCAACAAGAGGGAAAGAGAGGTATGGAGTCCGAATGATGGACAGAGAGAGCGAGAGAGAGAGAGTCTGAAACGCATACCAAGAAAAACAGAAAAGAGAAGCCGCTCGCTTGGCGGGAGAGCAGACGCCGCCGCCATTACTGCGCTCCGTTCGGGGCGACGCCTCCCATAGGCTGCCGCCGCGACTCGCTCTGGCCCTCCCGCTCGCACTTACAGCCAAGGGGGCGGAGCACCTGCTGCCGCAACACCTGTGACGATCGATCGCAGCCGTCGATCGCATAGCTGCCTCTCGCTCCCACTCACAACAAGCAGAGCAGGGCAGAGCAGAGGCTATAAACAACTCGGGAGAGAGGCGCACAATCAAGAAACAGCAGCAGCAGCCGACTCAGCCGCAGCAACAACTCCAACCGGTTGTGGCACCTGGGGAACGGTACGAACCCACCTGAGTTTTCACCGGCGCGGCAGTGGCTCTTACTGTAGTTCGCTTGCGGCACTGACGGAGCCCGGTCATCGTCTTTCGTGTTCGCGCTCTCGGTTCCGTTCCGACATATCATTCGTGGCTGTCTGGTTCTCCGTTCTCCTCCCGTTGTTTGTGTTGCACAGTGCCGTGTGGTGGAGTGTGTGTTGGTGTCTTTGGAGGTGTTAACCACTCGCAGATAATAGATCCACAGAGTATTGTTGTATTGAGTTCTCCGGCACAGCCACAGCCCCCAGATCTGACAGAACTCCAAGCCAAAGACTGATTGACGGAGTGCGGAAAGACCGTCGGCAAGTGCTCTCCGATTGTTGAAGTGAACGGGAAGTTCTGATACCGATAATACCAGGCGAAACAGAAGAAAATAGGAAGAGATAGGAGCTCTACAAGGAAGATATAACACTGCTATAGGCCCCCACTGAAATATACGAGAAAAAGGTAAGGTTCTGAGAGCTAAAAGTTGGAAGAAACTCTAACAAGTCTCTAACAGGACAAGCTAAAATTATCCTCTTTCAACAGACCATCTATAGTTTTGAGAATAGATTCTTATCATATTCTGTAGATAGAATAAATCGATAGAGAAAACCTTTCCTAATTTTGGAAGTCGCAGAACACGTGCCGCGACACTATAATTACCCGGTAGTCTTTATGCCTCCATAGAGATGCATAGATATAGAAATATATGAGTGATTCTAAAGGAAAAGAAGGAGGATAAAGTTATAAATGGGAACTATAACCACTTCCATATGTAAATTAAGTAAAAGAACCTCGTAAAGAACCCATTACTTCAGTCCATCTTGTCCAGATTTTATGTCTCGAATCTATATCCAGAAATAATATGAATGATTCCATCAAAAAACAGATAGATAGTGAATGCTAGGACGGGAACTTTTTATTAATAAGAAACCAAACACAAAACATAGATTTTTGTATTCCATTCATACCTTATCCATTACCATTATCGATGGATATTATATTAAGGTATCTAGTTTAAAGATCTATAGATAGGATTTGGATAGGTCCAAAGTAGATAGCTTTCCCCGCATGGGTCATATGTTTTTGCAGCTTTCTGTACAAGTTACTAAACAAAACCATCATGGAAACCCATAAGAGACGATCCACATGGAATAAAATCGCATGGGTGATACCCCAAATCGGACAACTTCCGCTTGCATTACCTTGCCACCCCAAACTCCCGCCAAACCTCTTCAATTTACAATCTGCCCAATTGCAAGACCTCCCCCACATTCTTTCCCCCTCCCAATTTGTATCACTTTTGCGGCTATCAATCCCATGCAAAGATACGATCCCAGCTCGGACTTAACCTACTTCTCAGCATGATTGACAAATATTACAAGTATAACCCATATATATTTTATAATTTCATAATTCCCCCGACCAATCTACCAATCTACCAATCAAGCAATCAGTAAACGAAAGGAAAGGCTGAATTAAAAGTAAAACGTAAAATTAAATATCATTAAATTTGATTAATTCCCTAGCTGGACACATCCTATCTCGCCTCGTATCATATCAATCCGAATCATATCATCGCTGTAGACCATCCCGAGCGACCAATAGAGACGGAATTTGATTAGCCACAAAAGGGGAGGGGGCTCTATGGGCTCTGTGCCCCCCAAAGTAGAAGACTTTGCTTGAGCTCATGCTGATAGCTCGATAAGTTTATCGCTGATTGGGTTTAATTAAACACCATTAAAGAGTACAAATTGTCAGCGGCACAGGCTGTGCCAATAAATCACGTTTTGTCTGGCTGATGTTTTCAGCCCCCCAGTGGGTGCTTGTACCCGTGTTTTCCTACAAAATAAATGAAATTAACCGGGCCCCCGGCTATCGGACTGAGATAATCGTGTCAAAAGCCCTGACCACTTCACTTTGGACGTGGACGAGGGCCTTGCGCACCTCGATAGACAGATAGATATGTGCACCATGACACTGCGTCCGACTCCGTGCAGCAGATAAGCCCTGACTTCCATCCATCCCAGAGAAGGCGAGGTCTCCGGCCTCTTGTGATAATCGAATTGGCCAGCACTTGGCCCCAGCGATTGATTTAATTAATAATAATGCCCATGTGACTTGTCAGCAGCAATTCGAACGCAAATTGTGACGCAAATAGCCAGGCTATCTCCGGGGTAGCATCTGCCCCCGTAGACAGTGTTGGGAGGAGGGAGATCTCCTCGCCTCCGATAAGATTGTGGTCCTCCTTCTGAGGCAGAGGCAAAATTAAAATATGTTTCCCCCAAAAAAGAGAAGCACCTGGATGGCAGGTTCAATTCAATTACGGCAACATACAATTAAAACTTGTTGCCAGATACATACTATAGATAGCGTGCTCATATCTTATAGATACAACCGAATTTTTGGCAGCTATCAGAACACGAACACACGTTCTGATTGCTCGTCGATTGTTCGACAACTCCCAATTGGAGGGAGGCGGCGGGCGCTGCCTTTTGATGGAGGTCTGATTGAGCAACACCCCCAAGAAGAGACTCTCCTCGATCTGTTTGTGGCTCTGTGGCTAAGATGGCGCCAAGTCTGCTGCGGAGGATTCATTGAGATGTGCTTCATTAATTCCAATTCCCATCCTGGGATCCCATCCCATCCCATCCCTCTCTCCTTTCGCTAAATGGAACATGCAAACATGAGAAATCAACGTCGTCGTCGGACACATCTCCAAATTGCTCTGCCTCGGATTCGCTTATCAAACCGTACAAGACAATGACAAAGGGCAGAGGTAGGCCAGGCAGGGGCAGACCATCCAGACAGACAGACAGATGGAGATGGAGATGGAGACGACGGCGTCGAGCAACAGTTGTCCGAGCAACAGATCAGAGATCCCTCCCCTCGATCCGCGCCACGATCCTCCAGTGTAGCCTGCTGCTGCTGTTTCTGCTGTTGTGTTTTTAACATGCATTTTATGAGTAATTGGCCCCGCATCAACATCACCAACATCCAACATCAGCCACAGCATCGCCATCAACAACAAGCAGAGCCACAGCCACAGCCACAGCCAGAGCCACGGCTTGAAAGTGGGCTACGCGTCTGGCTGGGGACCTGCAACCTGGGACCTGAGTCACAACTTGAACCTGCGACTACCTTGGGGGCTACCGTCCCAGCAATCTACTCCATTAGGGTGGCCAAACCAGATGGAATGGGAGAGACGAAATCGAACAGGGAATACCCTAAAAAAGACCCTCGTTCTTTGCGGGACAGAGACCTCTACTGAAGATCTAACACCATTTCAAGCGATAAAGAGGATACTGGAAAAATATAGAATGCTTTGAATAGAGAGAGATTTGGGAAGAGACACATCAGAGACGACATCACTAGATGAATATCTTAAGGATGTATCTAAAAAGGTTTTGTTCTGTCTTCAAATCGCACACATTGACGAGAACAAAAGATAAATTCTCGAAGATCCAATATTCTATAAGAAAGATAGATAGTTAGCCCTACTCGAAGTTCGCTTCACTTCCAATATCTCCTGCCAAACATAGCCCTTGATTATGAAGTGAAAGCTATCAACATCTGTTTACCAAAGGGATCCCAGCTCTGTGCCACCGCTGATCACCTGATCACCTGACCATCCCATCTGTTGGCTATCTAGGGTAGGGTTAGGGTAGCCCTCAGGTCGAAGTGTCTTTCGGCCGATTGGCCAGTAAATTGAATTAAGATTGCCCCCAAGAACAACAAATGAGGCGGCAGGCAGCTTCGACACAGGATATGAATAAACTAATTATAATTGGGAGTGTGTGCATTAGAGGCAGAGGCCCATAAGGTACAACGCACAGAAGAACAACAGCAACAGCTACAACAACCAGACGATGATGATGACGGGAGGCGCCTGGGCCAACAACAAGAATGCTGCCTTATCGCACCTGGTCCAAAGACGGCGCCAAGAAACAAACAACAAAACAACGAAAGAGGGAACTCAGGTGCAGAGGCTTATGCTTACCACAGCCACAGCCACAGCCTCGGATTCGGCTGCAACACCAGCTCCAGCTGCCTCGTCGTGGTATCAATTTTATGTATTTTTGGGTGACTCAGAAGAGCTCGACGAAAATTAATAATTGACTTTATCAACTGAAACTATTAGGGAAGAGAGTTTCTAAAGAGTGTCTCAGTGGAATGATCGGTGTAGAGGTGTTCAGGGCTTGGTAGAGGCAATCCATCAAGCGACCACACACTCGGCTGGGGATCGTGCATCGGGAGTGGAGCAGCCCGTCTCGTATCACCGAGAACGAATGAGCTTTCGCCTTGGGGCTAAGCCACCCAAAATGTTTGCCATTATCATGGCGGGTGTAGTATGGTGGGGAAATTACAATGCCGATCATCAAAGTGTGACTAAAGTGGTTTAGCCTAATGTAAACCCATAAATAAACAGCCCCAGATACAGAGACGCGACTGCAGACGAGACTGGAGGACTGGGGAGACTCGGGAGACTCGGTAGACACGAGACGGAGACGCATTAACAAAATGCCAGAAAAGAGCTTCTGTTTGCTGTTCTACCTGGTCCGAAGCAGCAGTCGAAGCGGCAGCAGTCGTCCTGAGGTCCGTCCGTTGTGGCTTTTAATGAAATATGCCAGCACACGGGACCGACGAAGAAGCTAAAAACACAAAAGTGCAACCATAAAAACGACACCAGGCCTGAAGGAGAGACCAGTCTGTGTGGAGTTGAGTTGAGTCGAGTTGAGTTGTGGAAAGAGTAGCCCGCAAAGGCAGAAACATTGATGCTTATCGAGATGACAGAAGTGACGACAACAGTGATTTACCTGTGGAAGTACACTTGTCTTGTATTATGAATTAATTTCTTAATTTTCCATATGTTCCATGTCTTAGGAAAACCCACACAGACCCTACAATGTTGTGTGCTCTTAAATATTTCCCCGAGACACTAATGGAGCTTATCTTTAAACGGAACAAGCAACCGGCAAACAAGTTCCAGTTCCAGACGGGGAATGGGTCTGGGTCTGGGTCTGGTTCTGGCTCTGGCTGTGGCGCTTTGCCCGATTAGCATCCAGGGACTAAACAGAGAACTTCGACTCTCTGATGTTGTGTCAAAATGTTAGGCACGAACTCGCCCCCGCCTGGAGATACTCCTCTGTCTCGTCCACTTGGAGCCTCTTCCTGGTGTCCGATCCGGACCGCTTCTGCTGCACTATCTGCAATTGGGCAGAGCAAGTGCAGCGTTAACTTGATTAGTTGTTGTCCCCGGCACTGACTAAATGAAGCCATGAGCAGGTCTGCACAAAAAATAAGAAAAATAAGAAAACCTGACAGTTTCTCCAAGCGAACCGAATCGAGCGAGAGCTCTCTTGGCTTTGCCTTTTAATTACCCAACGAAACGTCAATCAGAGACAACAGCCATCACATCATCCTTCTGCAGCACTCTTTCCTCGAGCTCGAGCTCTGGGCCTGGGTCTCCTCTGATTGCTGCAAGGCAATAATAAAGTCGTAACGCGGATACAATTATAAGGCGGCTCTACAACAAAGCCAAACGGCACACATTCCCCGCATACCTTTCGGTAGTAGTAAGTCGTACTGCCACTGCCACAACCGCTGCTCCACTGCCACTGCAGCTACACAGTTCGCTATCGCATGCAATGAATTAATCAGTTTTACGGGTTTTATAAGGAAGGGAGGATGAGGAGGAGGTGCAAGTGCAGGTGGAGGTGGAGGAGGAGGAGGGACGCAGCAGACATAATTGCAATTCGTACAACTAATTTAATAATTTGCGGTCCACGGTCCGCAAGTCGCTCGCACAAATTAAGTTTGTCAGCTGTCAATGCGTGGAATTTGTGGACAGCATTCAAAAACTGACAGCGCAAATCATATCAGGAGTTATGAGTTATTAACTTGAACCCATCCAGCAATCAGACATCAGGCATCAGAGGACAAGGTGCCTCAACAAGTTGATGGACCCTCCATATGTGTCTCCCTCTTCCGAGTGCTCCGAGTGCCCCCAAAGGGTTGTTGCTTGGTTGTTGCAACTTCATTCCGCAAAAGAATGCAACTAAATCAATCACAGCCACACTAATTTGCCATTTAACAAGGTATTTGGACAATTTTGATATATGTATTCAGCGGTTTCGAGCCACTGAAATGTCAACAGAAGCAGCGGCCATCAATCAAGCAGACTTTTGGGCATGGGACAGGGACTGGGACTGCGACTGGAACCGGCTTCTGCCTCTCCGTCTGCCTCTTGGCGAACGCGTTGCAGCTCCAACGGAAGGTTACACATCGGGTCTAACCATTTAGTTGTCATTAAAGACCCTCGTATATTAATTAGCAAAACATGAAATTACCAAAACTTCAACTCTGACGTGGAGTTCAGTGCAGAACGAGGAGAGCAAACCAACTGCTGCTGGCACCTGATATTAATTTGATCTGATAGAAGCGACATGGACACGGACCTGAACCTGCTTCTGCTTCTGCTGCTGCTGCTCGAACTCGAACCCAAAGTGGAGCTGTAGCTGCTGTTGAGTTGATGATGATGAAAATGAAGTTGCCGCCCAATTTAATTAAAATTCCAAACGATCTGCACATGAAAGCTGCCATCAGCCATCAGCAGCCCATAGCCGGGGCCCGGCTGAAAAATAAACCCAACTCAGCGAGTCAGCTGAAACGTGTTGATGGAAGAGATCAGCTGACGGACAGAGCCCAGTCTGTGGTGTGGTCATCGATTTGCATTGGTCTGTGATGAGACCACAAGCTGCAGTGGGACACAGTTCAGACACCGGGCCATGACCATAAGGCACGCTCCCGAACCGCAACACTTGGCCAAGGAGAATTTGTTGCTAGAATAAAATAGTTTTGGAATTGCAGAATATGCACAACACTATTTGAAGAAGTTTCCTTTCGAAAATATGGTTAAATATGTTCAAAATCAGGTATAGCAGATCGCCTTTTATATCCGACTATAGGTAAATGCATATAAGAGACAGAAGGTAACCTGTCCCTCCCCCATACAGTGCATATATATGTATATCTTGCCTACCATACATTCTTATAGCCACAATGAGGAAAATAAGTTTCCATGCTGACCTGTCTCTCCTGCTGCGCACATTAACCGTCTCTCTTCCAGTGTGTCTTAACAGTTCATGTCCGGCGTGCACTCTCATCCAGTGAGAATCGTTCTCTTAAAAGTATCGCCCCTTTCGTGTTACTTAAACTGTTTTTTATAGAGAAATCATTGGCCACCCAGTATAAAACTGCACTCTTCTGCTTTTGACGATCGCATTTTATAAGCCGAACACTGCCCAATACCCTATTATCCCCCATCCAACCACACTCAATTCTTTTTTGTTGGACAGTGTAATGCTGTAACCGCAGCTCTAACCTCGGAGGCCCAGTCCCGATCCGATCCGTTCCGTTCCGACTTGGTCATGGCTGCGAGCGAGTACGAGTCGATGGCAGAAATTACAGAAATTGGCATAATAAAGTGCACGATAATTGCACGTTTAGCGTTTATTGAATTACGAGCTTCTAATGCGCGACTATAACCCCTAAACCCGTCTATAATCTGTACTCACCCCCGCTCCTCCGTTTTCATTGCAGCTGCCTTTGGAGGGATACTGGAGTACTGGAGTTCTGGTGCGCCTTGGTGGATTATGGGCATATCGGAGGAGATCAAGCTGGAGGAACTACCGCAAGAAGCCAAATTGGGGCACCCGGATGGCGTTGTGGTCGATCGTGGCTCGGTCCTCGTCTCCTCGGCGTCGGCGGCAACGGCCGGGGCCTCGCTAACGGTTTCGGTTTCTGGAGGCGCACCCAGCGGCGCCAGCGGGGGCACCAACAGCCCCATCTCGGACGCCAACAGCGACTGCGAGGCGGACGAGTATGCCCCGAAGCGGAAGCAGCGTCGCTATCGGACAACCTTCACCAGCTTTCAGCTGGAGGAGCTCGAAAAGGCCTTCTCACGCACCCATTACCCCGATGTGTTTACGAGGTGAGTAACGTAAGAGTGAGAACCAAAACAACAACAAGAACAAGAACAAGTATACATATAATATGACAAAAGATAAGAGGGCCGAGGGCCGAATGGAAAATGGCCCCAAACTTTCGAGAGGAGAGAAATGAAATTTGCATAAATCGCTCATCGAGACATCAGCGCGACGCGACAAAAGGGAGAGACGCTCCTTGGTTTTACGACTCGGGTGATAATAATACTTATGACGACCCCCCCGAGTGGATGGATCTTCCATCTATCTTATTTGGAGCAACATTTGGATGGGCTTTTACGGGCTCGATTCGATTACAAATCACCAAAGATCAGGCATCATCTCTCATAGATCCGAATCGATGACCCTCTCCGGAGTTCAATTAGCATGCTGAAACCTCTCGAGAATTTAGTCTCGTTCTCCGGCTGAAAGACAGCCAAAGTAATTGCCATAAATTAAAACTCAGTCAGCTCCCAGTCCGAGCCCCAAAGTGAACTGCTAATTGAGACCGCACGATGCCCAAGCGAAGCACTACAACAAAAATGTTACAGAAAAGCTCACAAAGTCAATAGCAGCAACAATTAGATCAACTTTTTGCCCGCTTGTAGCTGCACTTCTCAATTCAATTCATTAAGGCTGCTTGCTGCTTGATTTGAATGCCCGGCAATTAATTAAGCAAATAAATCAAATCAGATTTAATTTGTGTTTACGCTGCAATTAGCACTTGTGTAGGTGTATTCGCGCGAGAGTCACAGAAAGAGACGCGATAGAGGTCGAGCTTAGAGAGAGGCTCACATAAGTGAGCGCTTTGAGAAGCGCATAGAAGGGCTTTCTTCGCTCTGTCGAAAGCTTCCAGATGCACTTTGACAGAGAGAGAGAGAGAGAGAGACAGAGAGAGCTTTCTGAAATAAGATATGCAAAGTTCGGTGATAAACGCGATTAGAGAGACATTCTAAACGAGATAAACTCTACAGAAAATAAAAAGCTTTCAATTCCTAACCATTTCAATTGATTATAATCCATATCCTCTCTCTATTTACCACTAAACCTCTGGTTTTTCATCTTAATTTTTTACAGAGAAGAGCTGGCGATGAAAATTGGCTTAACCGAGGCGCGCATTCAGGTAAGGCCCCCAGAGAGCTATGTTAAGGAGATTTGCGGTTGATTCGCGTGCCCCACGTGCAGCCGACAATGTAGTAAAATTGAAAAATAATGGAGCATGTCGTCCCTAATGAAATCGACTCGAAGATAGGCACTCTGAGAGGCATCCAGGGGAGAGCAGAACAGCAGAAGATGGGGAGAAATGTGCATTCAATTTTGGTTTAGTGCCAGTCATTACAATCCCCGGCGCTTCTTGTTTTTAATTATTGCCCCATGCTAAACAACATTATTTGCTTAACCGAACATCCATTTCTCCCAGGACTACATACAGTCCATTCTCTGTTCCGAGTGCGAGTCCCAGTCCGACTTTGAGTGCAATCAGCCACCGTTCTTGTCCCTGGGATCGACATCGACTCCCATATTCAGATTGTTATGTTAAAAACTAATTAAAGGGGCGTTTTCAATAACAACGCCCATTAATTGGATGAGGAGTCTTCCGTGCAATGCAGGAGGATGCTGCGGATACCGATACAGTAGCCTGCCAGCCACACATAATTCATGGCCCTCTCTCCTTCCTTTCTCGTCTTGTTGCAGGTCTGGTTCCAGAATCGTCGCGCCAAGTGGCGCAAGCAGGAGAAGGTGGGTCCACAGTCGCATCCCTACAATCCCTACCTGCCCAGCGGCGCCGCCAGCATGCAAACGGTGGTGGGGGCCGCCCTGCCGCCCAATCCCTTCACCCATCTGGGTTTCCAACTGCGCAAGCCCTTCGATGCCCAACACGCGGCGAATCTGGCCGCCTTCCGCTACCCGCATCTCTCGGCAGCGCCCATGATCCCCTCCGGCTACTTCAATCAGTTCCAGCGGTGAGTAGCGCCCGGAGAATCCCCAAGAGAACTAGCTCCTTTAACCCATGATTCTCCCTCATTTTAGAGCTCCTCCTCACATGCTTCCCCCAGGCATGGCCGGGATGTACTCGCCCTCCAGCTCCTTCCAGTCGCTCTTGGCCAACATGACGGCTGTGCCGCGGGGCCCGCACCTGCCGCCAATGGGTGGAAAGCCCATGCTGGTAGGGTCCCCAGACCTACACTCGCCCAACCACCTGCTGGCCTCGCCGCCCACCTCGCCCGCGTCTGGAGCCTCGCAGCACCAGCACCAGCACCAGCCTCCGCCACAGCCGCCGCCCCCACACGTCCAGCCCTCGCAGCTGTCGCCCCAGCAGCTGGTGGGGATTGCCCTCACCCACCAGGCGCCCTGCGGCTCGCCCACACAGACGGCACCCGTGGCCCTGACCCTGGCACACTCGCCGCAGCGCCAAATGCCGCCGGCCCCGCTTCCGCCGCCCCGATCATCCACGCCGCCCGAGGACCGACGCACTTCCTCCATTGCCGCGCTGCGCCTTAAGGCACGTGAGCACGAACTGAAGCTGGAGCTCCTGCGACAGAATGGTCATGGCAACGATGTCGTCAGCTAGCTGGGGGTGTGCCCCAAGTTCCTGCTGAATATGCTGGAGATCCCAAATCCAAGTGCAAAACATTTGCTGGTTCACTTTAGTCGTAAGCGAATAAGTTATTTCATTGTTTGTACAAGTATTTAACACGGAATTTTCAAATAAATTCACAAAGTAAATTGAAGAATGAAAAGCACATCTAAGGAATATATAGGCTGTCCTAAAGAAAAATTGGAGAAACTAATAGGAGGTCTTCACTGAGACGAAATAATATTCAAATGTGGGATATATGTAGTTTCTACATTTAAAATACAACATTTTGAAACTCATTCACCTTTCACGGTTGCTGCTATATTTATACAAGATCTTTATCTACAATCTTGAAAAGTTTCTCTATCGATGAAGCAGGGACTATCCCACTATCTAGTAGGAGATTTTTTAAAGGAGCATCAATTCCCCTTCAGGATTCCATCATTGTAGAGACCTTCCATTGTAAACAGGCTTCTAGGCCCACAGCTTTCCCTCTCAAAGACACCACATTATTAGTTATAGACAATGCCATCAGTCGCCTCCTCGTTTTCTTTGTATTCTTTTGGTAATTCCCACAAATTACCCATAAGCCGCGGCCTAATAGCATCTCCCTTCCCCCTCGTAACCCTCCTAATATGCGTAACAACACCTACTTAGGAGTAGAGGAGAGTCGAACACTGAATCACAGCCAGTCCGACCAGATCTTGGGAGTACGAATACGAGTCGAGTCCGAGTCCGAGTCGGATCTGCCATTAATCAGTTGTATTCCCATAAATCAGAGAAGAGAATGGGATTGGGAAGGGAGCCATGAAGAGAGGCATGATCAAAAACAAGAGAATCATCATGATCAGGGGAGGGTGCTACAAATATAAATTTATGAATAAATTAGAAACAAATTAAATATGTTAATGATTCGAAGTCGAAGTTCGAACAACAATGATCGCTCGATCTGCGATCGAGAGAGCGGGAACTTCGAACATTTGGGATCTCCAATCGACAGAGACACAAAGAGAGAGGAAACTTCGAGAGATCTCGCTTGAATCTTGGATCTTCTTCGATCTGTAGATGATTTCTCTCGCTTGCTTTTGTTTGTGAATTATGCGCGGTAATTAATAAAATGGAATATTTATGATAACATTTATAAAACACGAAGTTGCCTAATTCGATTACCAGATTTTTTGGTCATCCGTTCGTTTGTTGCCAGACTCCGGACTCGGCAGTGAAGATACGATACTCGTATTTTATGGCACAAAAAGAGGCAGTGCCAGCTCTTGACTTGGAATCCTCCTCACATGCCCTGGTAATTGCGATGAGGTGGAACTGTGATAATCATGTTTAACCGACGGACAACGGCTGCAGGGCCTCTCCTCCTCTCAGACTGTATAATTTTCTGTGTCTCTCTCTCTCTCTGCGTCTCCCCCGATGTTGGTAACATTTCATGCATTTCAATGAGTTCGTCAAATGCAGAATATAAAAAAAATATACAGGGAAAAGGAGAGAGAAAAAAGAGATCCAAACAATTAATTTGCATAATAATCAAGCCAAGGGGAGGGTTTAAATATGGCTATATGGGATGGAGGAGGGCAGCAAAGAGGGAGGTTCAACAACCATATTAATAATCATTAATTAAGGCGACTAATTAACGCTGACATTAAGAGACTGCATTTTAATTACACCCCTAAGTCCGATTGGATTTCATTTGATATTAGTTTAGTTTTTGTGTTCTGTCTGGCTTTGGAGATTGCACAATACCTACACAGCGACAAAATATGATATGGAATGGAGTGAAATAAATCATAAATAAGAACACTATAAGAACTTTTTACAGTATTTCCGATGACTATTTTATAGTAACAGTAATGCTTTAAATTATTCTTGCATAAAAAAATGGAAAATGTGATTAAATAGTACCATTTATTATATCACTGTTCTATCAGATCCTCCATAAAGATTATGGTTATGCACCATTTAATTGAAAAAAGAAAAGCATGTCTTCACCGACGCTTTGTTCTTAAATTTCTTCTATTCAGCCTCTCTCTTTCCGGTTGAATTCCCTTTTTTACTTGATTTCTTGCAGTGCATCTCCAATTGCTTGTACAACATCTCTATTCTATTTGATTAAATGCATTTAATTTGTTGGCAAATTTGCACAAAAATATTCGATTAATGCGCTTTTTTGTTAGGTTTTAATTTAATTTATCTGCAACACAAACTTAATTGTTAATTCCACGAGCCTGACTGCACAAAATCAACAAAAAAGAACAATCGGAAAAGTAGGATCGAAATCTTAGATACCCTGGAATACTGCATATAGATCCAAACCACTTTGGATGTTTAATGAATGTATCTTCGAGGTTTGGTAACCACTACTTTTAAAGAAGCACAAAACAATATTGGCTTGATCACAAAAAACACGATATAATATAGTAATACGATCTTGAAAGCAGCAAATCAGGATCAACTGAAGCGTATGTGGCATGGAAGTGGACAGAATAACAAGGCTAATATTGTCTTAACAGTTTAAGCTGTAGATTCGGAACACTCTCCATCCCTGGCTTACAAAATCATAAGACCCTGCTATCTTTCCAGGGTATCAACCACCAGAAGGAAGCAGAACGAAGGCGGTTGTTTTTTGCTCATTTTTCCTTACTTTTTCTTTGTGTTGGTTGCTGCCTTTTTTTGTTGCCTTGCAAGACAAAATGCAGTTGCTGTTGTCGCTGCTGCCTCTGAATATAGATGTATGTATCTGTATAATTGCTCGAGTGCATTAGTGTGTGTGTGTGTGTGTGTGCATCTGTGTGTTTCGTGTGTCGGCGCAATTAAGTTTGCGTTTAATTTGCAATTATCCAAACGACTCAAACTAATTAGCGCCACTTTGATTAAGCCTGCCAACAACAAAATGGAAATGAAAATGGATAGTGGATAATGGATAATGGAAAAACGGAAAATATTTGCAGCTTTTCCATGATACATAGTCACAGACCGCAGAGGGGGTGAAGGTAGGGAAGAAAACCGAAACCAAAAATAATAGTTAAGTGCAAAAATCTTTATTCGATTTATGACGAAGGGAATTGCACATGATTGGAAATCATTGTGGCCCTGAAATATATCCACAGCATTTACATGGGTATGGGCATGGGTATGGGTATATGCATAGATTATTGGCCATAAAATCTCCAAACAGACAACATCTGTGGTGGGAATCGTTTTTGTAGGGAATTATAAATTCATTCCGGCAAACAAAAGACTTAGGCAACGAACTAGAGGGCGAGACATCTGCGAATCTGTAGCTGTAGCTGTGTCTCTATCTAAATCTGTATCTGTTCGATGTGAATGAAACCAGTAATCCAGTTACATGTTTGAGCCCATTTCCAGGGCAGTTGATGAGATAATCTCCAATCAGCGATGGGAAATCTGCCGATATATAGAGAGATATTAAGATACATACTCGAAAATAGAGAGAGAGGGAGGTTTCTGTACCATCAAATCTAATCATAGTTTCTCCATTTGCCTCAGAGTGTGTATCTAGATGATAATCTATTAAGATCATAGATGTTTCAATGATGAGATCATCTCTCTAACATGCATACGAGTATTTCCTTTGCTCATAAAAATAATCTTTATAGATCTTTCCAACACATTCCCCCAAAACTCATTCGACACATTTTATAGATTCTGGAAGGCACACTTTTACCTTCAGTGCCGATAGATCGGAGATCCGAATGATCTGAGTCATTTTTGTTTACCCTAATAAAGAAAACTCTTAGCAGTAAGTTCTGAATCTTTAAGGTACAATAAATAATTGTGATTCATCATTTGATCGCATTTAGAAAAGCTTGGAATTCATATCCTACAAATTCACTGATTCCCATTCTTCGATTGATATTATTGGTAAATCGCATAGGAGATGCAATTTTAAACATTTCGGATAACTAATAATGTTTAATATTATGGAACCATAAAGTTTTGTTTTAAAATTTGAATGCCATTCGATTTGAATGGGCTTTGAAGATCGAGCTTGTATTTGAAATATAATTGCTTTGAAAAGTTGAGGCATCCATACAGTGGGTTTGTTTTCTTTTGGAACATAGTATTTTTGCAGAGTATTAACTTCCTCAAAAACTCACCAAAAATCCAACTCTTGTGCCTCTTCGTATGTTCATGTAAACTTTCCTTTCGCTTGTTTCTCGCGCAGATGAAATTATTCAGTGTTTGGCGGTTGTTTTGGGACTTGTGCATAAATTAAATTAAGGCAGACTTCCCGCTCGACTTGCAGATGCAGGGTATCTCCCAATGATGGGAAGGGGTAGAGGTAGAGAAGGAGATCCGGGAGATGGGAAGGGGCAGAGGCAGAGCAGGGGATCCCAGAGATCGGAAGAGGAGACATGGAAGAAGCTAACAATTCCATTTGGCCTGCTGCAGCAATTGGAGCATGTCGAACGGGGCTTTGGGGGCTGTTCGGATCCTAATTAACTTGTTGCCATAATTGCTCACTTTTTATGTGTTGCATGTGATTGTTGCATGCTGCTGCTGCTGCTGCTTCTGCTGCTCCTGCTTCTTAGGGGGCAACACTGGCCAATGGAAGAGTGCTACAAATTTCAATATAAATCAAGAAGTGCTGCTCGTGCGACCTCATAAGCGCCGACAAAACGGTAACGATGTGACTTTTATTATGTCCCAAAGACGACGCCACATGGAACCCACACACAAGGAGAGACAGACAGACAGATGGAAGAAGAAGGAGAGAGAAAGAGAGAGAAAGAGGGAAACAGGGAAACACAACGAAATGAGAAACATTTGGCGCCGGAGCAATTAGTTATCAAAGACGTCGCTCATTGACAAGCAAAAGTCAAAGCACTCGAAGTGCCACCCAAGACAGAGGGACAGAATGGGGATGGGAATGGGAAGGGGAATGGGCAGGAAAGCTATATAAAGTGGACATTATCCCCATATATATAAATGATGACTCATCCACGGGTCCGATATGAAGACAAAAGAACGACGACACCGAAGACGAAGATCGACTACCGAAGTTTTTGGTGTAAGTGAAGGCCCCCGCCTGGAGATGGAGCCTCTCCCTTCCTCCTCCATCCCTCTCTTTAACGTGCCGTGGCATGTTGTGTGTAGCACCGCCCCAAATCATGGCAGCGTGTGCCCCAGACC